TGCACTGTGCACTATGCCATCCACTCGGAGAAAAATGCGTCGACCGCGATGCTCGGCAACTACACGGTGCCACTCTCCAATCGCGAGCACATGTCCACTGCGCACTACAATAGGTTCGCCACGCTTACGAAGCTTCCCTTCAAAACGCAAGATTGTGTTATCACTTTTATGTAATTGTATTGTAGCATATTAACTGTTCTGTAATGTAATAGTATACTTCTAACTGCAATGGTTATCGAGCTTTAATGACTTACAGTGTGTGTAAAGAATGGAAAAAATGGTGAGATAATTGACAGGAATCAGGAGGTCTCAAGAACAAGAGCTCATTATATCTCTGTTCACAAATTCTTGATAAACTATTGTGTCCCACTGTGATAACGCACCCCTGTTAGCGGGCGTAGCAGGTGTGTTTTACTTTAATAGTACTGTCCTCAGAAATTTTTGTACCTGATGCTAATCGCAGCTCTAGCACTCCTCCTTGCAGCGACAGTGACAAGAAACTATTTCCATCTTGCTGCCCAAGAAACATCAACAATCCTCGGTCACAAAGTGGTCGCACCTCGATATCAATTAACGAGTGTTGGTCGTGCAGCTCCACTGGAGGCAGGGAGAGGTAAGAACGTGTACCAGAGAAGGCTACGTCGGAAAGGGCTTCATCTAAAATGAAACAAAAGCATTTACAAAACTTGAAGGAAATATTACTGACGGAACCACATGCTGCAGGAGTCTGATGTTATACCTCTTTCACAAAATGTTCCTGCCTTGCCAAGAGGACAGTCGCATTCATATCCAGTGGACAGAGGAACACACGTTGCTCCAGAGCTGCAGTTGTGTCTCATTAAATCGCATGGATTGAAACGAAGAGCACATATGGGCCCAAACCAGCCCTCGGGGCATAAACATCTGCAAAGAAAAGTGGATAGTTAAACAATCATTTTATGCAGTTAGAACTAGCAGAAGATGGTTCCACATGTATTGATTCCATTGCACACTTGGGGGGGGGGGGGGGGAGTTGATGTAGGTGACGCAGTAGACACCGAACATCAATGCAGAGATGGACAGACCTTTAGCCCTCAGGCTGAAGTGAATGTCAGGTTAAACCAGACTTGTTGTGGGGCTCACAGATTTTCCTATTTAGGTTGTATCTGGGCTCTTTCCGTGGGGTTAAAGCAACTGGAATGTAAATCTGACCACGCACTTGTAGCTAGTGCCAAGGTTAATGTATGTGGCTTTATGGCATGATGCGTAGGTGCAGGGACAGCTCTTATCTTTATCTTATTAGATGAAGTTGTCTTGTTTAACCATTAAGAATAGAGCCCCTGGTATGTAGACCTACTGAAAAGGACCATTTACAGCATGTACTGAGTTTTATGTTCGTCTGTCTAGCCAGTGTGCTCTGTCGAACCGAGAAGTGGATGTCGTGTCTGTATTTGTATACTTCTCTTGATGCTTTATACACCTGTCCCTCCCGCAAGCTGTACAACTGTTAAAGGAAAGGAAGAAGGAGGGAGACGTCACACATACGTGTATGTGGCACCATGGTGAAGGCAGGCTCCTCCGTGTTGACAGGCGTGTTCATGACATTCGCTCGTTCCACACTGTCCAACGCTGCGACCAGTTGCAGGTTGAGTCCTTTGAAGGGCTACTGCTATACGTCCAGCTCGCAGCTCCACATCAAACAGGCAGCCGGAAAATCCCGAGTGCAAGGGCAAGTCATGAGGCAGTAAGGAGAAATTCCTTGATTCGTGGCCTCCTGAAAAATGAATCTACTGTAATGTGGCTCATCGTATGGGTACATGTGATATGTTACATGTTACAGCACTTCTTCTTAAGCATCAAACCCAGTAGCTGAATATCTGAATTCAAGACATTTCTACATTATACCAAGTTACACGCTGTGGTGAGATCTAAGAGTAATAAATTTAAAACTGGTTTGAGTTATTGGTGTCTTCATGTAATTAAGCATTTTTGTGGGACATCTGCTTTGCCTGTCAGAATGAATCAAGAGGACATGTTTTGAATATAAACAAAAATTCTATTTTAATATACAAAGAAAACTGTACTGTAGGTATAATGACAAAGTGACACCCCTGGTTGTCGTACAATAACATGTCATCACATTTATATCGGAACATTTTTCAAGGTCATCCTAACGTATTTGTTTTGTAATCTTTGGTTTGACATGATCAACTTAATTCTATTTTTTATTTTTAAAAGTGACAGTTATTGCTAATTACTGATCTACAGAAATAAATTTAATTTGTCATCTGTCATTTATGATGATCTATCATGCCTCTTTTTATAATGCTCTTTACAGATTTTTGCTATTTCAAAGCCTACTTTTATTTAACTTAAGTGAGACCTATGTGACTGACTTAAAATTTTTCTTATAATGTTAAAAGCTATTTTTTCTAGTTATTTTGGTATTTATGTAATTCTTATGGTTGACATCAAAATTATTCATCACCTGATTACAGCATGAGCCAATTTTATTTCTTAAATGTTATGGGTACATACATACATCAATCAAGTCTGCATCCATCATAACTAATGACAGATTTGCTACTTTCTTCATACTGTTATTTAGACTTGCCAAGATAAAGCAGAGATCTCGTGTTAAGTTGCGAGAGACGTCCTGGAGATCTGGAACTAACGTTCTGAAGATTGTCTACCATGAGCCAAGCAACTTGTCCTATTCTACCCAGTCTCACTGTGTGAGGACGATTTGCTCTCTGAGTCACAGGGTGAGGTGTGAAAATCCTTCGAGGACCTGAAAGAATAATTATTTGAACATGTAATATGTTTAAAATTTTACAGCCTTGTTTAAAAAATATTCATATGAATCTTTTTTTTTTAATGTGAAGAAAATGGATTTTATTTAAAAATTTATCTAATGTTATACCAGATCCAAGGTTCCATGTCAGCACCACATATCCTTGAATGAAGCTGACAGACAGATGGTCAGCTCTGGAGTCATGGAAGCCATCTTGTCCAACAAATACCATGAGTGCTATTTGATCAACTGTTGATGGAATGAACTTGAACTTTAACTCCATACTGTTATGTATGGCCCCTGGTATGGGGTAGGCTGCGTAGGATGCGAGGCCACCTACAGAGGAGAAAAATGAAGGCTGACCAACCTCAAGATCTGAAATATCAAACAAATAGTACATTATTTATATATTTTTTTAATCAAGTTTTATATTCGGTTCATCACTTTGAATTCTAATGAATTGTTAAAAAGATCTGTTTTCAGTGTTTTGGCTGTGTTATACTCATTGTAAATTTTTTCATGTTAGATTTAGCTGAACAAAACTGTTATATAGCATATGGTTATTTTTAAGGCAACTGTTCGCTTTTACATTTAACTTAAATTGTCTCATTCAGAAGTTCAGCATTGCGGCTAAACTTAATGTATGTACTTATATTGGAGTATTCCATTGTGTGTCGTACACAACAGTTATTTACAGTAATCAGCCAACAACACGTATCTAATACTGTCATTTGTGCATTTATAAAATCACCTATACCGCTGTGGCTGTTCAGGAACAGTCCAGTTTTGTTGTCTTGTGTTCAGTGTCAGTAGTTATGAATAATCCTAGTAATATGTGTAGTATTACTTTACCATGTTCGCAGTAGATCCCATGTTTCCCTAATGGACAGAGGCAAAGGAATCCACTTCCAGGATATGGCACACAAGTAGAACCGAACTGACATGGATTATCTTCACAAATTGACTGTTCGCATGTTACTCCCACAAATCTAAAATAAGGTAAAAAATATGTGTGTACGATGACACTTCCGCGGTTGTTAATTAATCGTCTTTATCACATTAACCATTCATTGTCATAAAATTTAAGTCTTTATTAACATAAAATAGCAAAGGAATGTTGTTAAAATAGTGATTGTTATTTTTTTATAATACAGTAATAGTAAATTAAACTAGTTATATTAACATACAGAATCAAAGAATGTTATTGAATCTGCTAGTCACTGTTCTTACCCTGACGGACATAGGCAGGTCCACTTGTCGTAATGCTCCACACACGTTGCACTTCCAAAGCAAGGATTTGATAGACATGCAAGTGATGGACATTCTGTAACATCATATCCGTTAACTGCGTCTCTGTAGATGTTCTTGGTCACGTTGTCAATCTAAAATAATGAAACATAATCTATCATGAACATTTTTGAAAATAATAAGCTGTAACTTAACATAATTATCCATATTTGCTTTTGTGCAGTGAATCTGTATTGTGTTTATTTAATTGTTTGAATACACTTGTACAAAATAATTACAATGTTAGTGATACTATGCACTTAATTTTGCCTTGGTCATTATAATTTGGACATTCACAGTATAAAACTCAGTAGAATGAATACAAATTTATTGGGGCCCCAAATTTAGTCATTCCCCTAATATTAGGATCCACCATATGACATTGTTATGGCAATCTGTTGTATTAGAAGTGTTGAAATTCTCTTTGCAATGAATTTGTGTGCTGTTGAAAGACTCTTGGGCTACAAGCCGATTCCGGTGGCTGAATGGTGAATAAACCACATCTTCTGTCAACGTTTCAGGAGCAATCTCTGCTCTCATCCTCGGGGCTGCTGTGTAACAAATCTGATCCTTTCTAGAGTGCTCGCAGGTGGGAACTGGCGGTGGACAGCATACCATACTACCTGCTGTCCACCACCAATTCCCATCGGCGAGTGTGCTACAGAGAACCAGATTTGTTACGCAGCAGCCCTGAGGATGAGACCATTCAGCCACCTGATGCGGCTTGTAACCCAAGAGTCTTTCATCAACTTCAGTCGCCGCGAAAGCTTCACTTTGTACATATATGTGCTGCTTGTGCTTATTTCATTGACAACGGGTTGCAGTCAAGCCACGGTGATCCAGGTTGGTGCCGTGTCTCTTTCTTTCAGTGCTGGTTGCAACTTTTATTTTTTTCTAACAACTGTATTTTATTTTCTAGGAATTAAGAGGCAATGAATATGGAATTTACCATGAGATCTTGCATGCAGCCTGTAAATCCATTGGTTACTGGAGCCTCATTTGGGGCTAAGAACTGTGGAGGAATTCCTGCCAGGTGTAGCCACGAATTAGCTCTGGTGTGAGTAGGAGTTGCAGCTATTTGTTCCCCACTCATTACTAACGTACTGTTAATGTGCAATGAAGCAGCACAACGTCTGAATTCTCCACTAGGAGGAAGGAGCTCTAACCTGAAATGATAATGGATTCCTATTTAACCTGTTCTCTTCACATTCAGCGCCTTGCGTTATAAACAGTGTATAATCTGCCATTCAGATGAGTTTTTTAAATATTTATTTACTTAAATTATGAGATGAGTTGAATCATGAACAACATTGAAACTGAAACGCTGAAGACCTTTCTACTTCTTTTTGACACTGTCAAATGAAAGTTACAATTGAACGTGGAAAACTGTGTTTAAGGTTCAAAATCTTTTGCTGTTAATTAGATGGAACTTCAGCTTCAGAACAGCTTGGCTGCTTTGTCAAATTCGTAATACACTCATTTCTACGATGTTTATTTGGAACATAGCAGTCTGCCATCGTGTATCATGAAATAACACAGAGTAGACAGTTAATGCTAATTTATTATACCTTTTACCTTAAAACCTCCTGAAGATATCCTCTGGAAAACATTTTATAAACCACTGTTTTGAGGGAACGTGTCTGTCACAGATTTTACAAAATACACATGTGAGCTGGCATAGCTCAGTCAATGTTGTGACTGGCTACGGATTGGACGACCAGGGTTCGATCCCCGACGGGAGCAGAGGAATTTTCCTCTGGCATCTCCATCAAGACTGGTTCTGGGGCCCACCCAGCCTCCTATCCAATGGGTACCAGGATCTTTTCCCAGGGGTAAAGCGAGACTGGAGTGTGATGCTGACCCCATCTAGTGCTGATGCCAAGAATGAGTAGGAGCTATACCACCTCTCCCCTGAAGAGCGTACATGGAATATAGTAAGACAGCTTTTATTTTACATTTTACACATGTTTACTTACGTGACTTGTATAACGAGATCAAATCCATTGTTAACTTGAAATTTCACTTCGCTGAAGAGCATTGTTTGGATTCCACAGGAGAACTGGAACTTCAGGAGCCCATCTTCAAGGTAGAGGTACATGTACATATGAGGCGTGAGATGGGCGTACAGCAAGATGCCCATAGGAGCCATCGTTCGAGCTATCAGTTCAATATGAGTTCCGGTGCTGTTGCTTAGTCTGTGACTGAGGTACGATCGTCCTGTGAAGGCGGCTATCTTGATCCCAGTATACTCTTGACACAGTGCTCCTTGCCAACCAAACTTGCATATGCACTGCAACAGATCAGTTACATGGACCTACATTTTTTTATATCTGTTATTCAGAAAAGAATAGTCAGTCTTTCTGTCACAGTGGCTCAGCATTGTATGGGTAACTTACTTCTTGCATGTCATTATGCTAGAAATTCAGTCATTTGTTTGTTGATAAAGGCTTTCTTTGTTAATGTAGCTAAAATCGTGGAATTTAACCCCTTTCTGTGAAATTAATCGGGATGTAAGAAATCTAAATATTCTTCTTCCATTTAAAACATCAATCCCAGCCATCCGATACCAATGACAGGGGTTACATTCCTGATAGTTGATCTGCTACCAGTACCTGAAGCACATGAATCCAACACCCTTCAAGTCTATTTCCCAGATATACATTTTAATATTATCCTATCTACACCTAGGTCTTAGGAGTGGTTTCTTCCCTTCAGACTTTCCAACCAAAAATTCTCTATGCATTTATCATCTCCCCCATATCATCCATCTCATCCTCTTTTTGACTTCATCGTTGTAATGATATTTGCTGAAAAGTACAGGCTGTGGAGCTCCTCATAATGCAGTTTTCTCCAGCTTCCCGTCACTTCATCTCTCTCTGGTCCAGATATTCTCTGAAGCACTCTGTTCTCCAACACCCCCCCAATCTGTGTTCTTCCCTTAACATGACATTCCAGATTTGACACCCATACAAAACAGCAGGTAAAATTATAGTTTTGTATATGTTAATCTTTACTTTTTTAGATATTAGAAGCAAAGACAAAAGGTTAGCCCCACGCCCAACCCCCAAACTGGAGGACTGTTGACTGTCTGTCTCTGTATATTCAATATTTTCAAGTAACCTCCATATCTGCAAACATTCTCCTCCATCTGCAAATGCGTTAAATTACAGTCTGAGTACTATGCAAATATACACTTACCTGAGGGCCTTCTTTGGTGTGAACACAAGTTCCTCCATTATGACAGGGGGTTATGCTGCAATCTGGCACGTCTGTTGATGAAGGATATCGATCAGAAGTGAACTCTGTAGGCACGAGTGTGTCAGTTGTCATCATATCTGGAGTACGCGGAGAAGTTGTAAGGAAAAATGTGACAGGGTATTCGCTCGATGATTCATTGCTGACAGGTGTAGTAAATTCCCCACCTACGGTCGTGTTCTCTGAAGGCACTTCTTCTGTGAGAGGAGTAATCGCAGTCACTGGATACAGGGAAATTGCAACTGTAGACTTCTCAGATGAAGATGGCATCGTACCTGAGGCCTCGTCTGTTGATATGGGTGTGGGAGATGTTGATTCTTCACTTTTGACAATTGGAGGAAGTTCTGAAGATATGCCGGCAGTGACAATTGAAGCGCTTGACAGTTCTGGAGAGGATGTTGAAGTTGATTCTTCTGTTCTGTTAGAATACAGTGTTGAAAGAGTTTCAAGCATTTCCGATGTTGACGTTCCTTCAGTTGGACTAGTTTCTGGAATCTTGGATGATGTTAGTGGAATTTCACTCTCAGTGAGAAAGGTATATATTTCAGTTTCTGTTTTGGTGGTTACATTGGCTTCACTCGCAGTTGATACTTCTGAAGAAGTTACAGATCCAGTGAAAGTAGAAATGGAAGATGATGTTGAAGGCACCACTGTAGATGTTGTTTCGGTAATTCCAGAAGAAGTTACTTCTGGTATGAGACTGGACATTGTTTCACCAAATGATGTGAATTTGGAAGATAAAGATACCATCTCAGAAGCTGAGGTTTCAGAAAGTGAATATATATCATGAGTGGTCGATTCAGACACCTGTGGTGAAGTTTGTGAGGAAGGCACAAAATATGTTGAAACTTCAGAAGTAATTCTAGTCTCTTCTGTTGAAAACATTATTTCTGTTGTTTGTCCAGTAGGGGTTACAATTGGCCCTGTAACATTTCTGGCAACAAATGTTGAAGGCACTTCAGTTATGAATGAAGGTGTGGACTCTGTACTTATTGAAGGAAGCAGTGTTGTTACGGACGGTAGGATATAAGAACAGTTAAGCTGTTCATTTTCAGTGATGAGACATTCACAGAATTGACCTGTCAGATTAGGTGGACAGGAGCAGGTGTAGCTGTCCACGCCGTCCAAGCACGTTCCGCCATTCAAACACCTGCGCACGTGAGATGACAGTTTGTATCGAGTGTCTCGTAATAATTCAGAGCATGCTTTTAATGAGATTTCTGTCATAAATATAAAACAATCTGTCAAGCTTCTACCTTGGTCCAAGTTGACACTCGTCATACTGAAACTGGCATCGATCCCCATGGTAGTCGGGCACACAGTAGCATACTCTCATTCCATCCTCCATTAGGCAGAGAGCATCGTTCTCGCATGGACTAGTGACGCAGTGATGAAGCTTCACCTCACAGTTCTTACCTGTGTATTCTGTAACAACATAACAGTGGAATCCTGTCATTATATAATCTTGGTTATCTTCAGCTAGACGTAGAATAGTGTTCTAACATCTCCGTCATCTGTTATCCATCCTGAGATGTGAGGGTCTTACCAAAGGGACAAGCACAGGCGTAGTCTGCGTGGCGATCGACACAAACACCACCGTTCAGACACGGTGAAGAAGCGCATTCATCAGTGGGAGTTTCACACACTGCACCGGTCCAACCTTAAATTACATTAAATTTTAGTTTAGACAGTGGAACTAGTGCATGTTTTGCTGATTGGTAAAGATTTTGATATCGTACCTTCGAGGCAAGAACACGTGAACGAATCTCCTCGTCCCTCAATACAGATTCCTCCATTCATGCAACGGGATTCTTCTGTGGTGTTGCACACAGCTTCATCAGTCTCACAGAACAAACCTAGTGACAAAATGAAGTTTGTAGAGATGTCTTCTGTACAACTCACAACCTGGATGTCTATTTTAATATTATCATCCTAATTAATTCCTCAATCTACTGTTTGCCCCTTACTGTGTGGTTTTCCAGACTTTATATACCATGTGTAATCTTATTCTTAGCGTCTTCTAGTGTTGATTAAAGACTCTCGGGTAACAAGCTGTGTCAGGTGGCATTTCTTCCGCGGAAGAAATGGCTCATTCACCATTCACCACCTGACGCGACTTGTTATCCGAGAGTCTTTCATCAACTTCTGTCGCCGCAAAAGCTTCACTTTATACGTCTTCTAATGTATTTATAGAGAGAAACTTATTTTGGGTCAGAGGAAGGGCAGGGTAGGGTAGGGGAGGAGTAATGATGCTAAAGAAGTTAAGAACCACTGCCATACATGTGAAGGTGAGAAATATTAAATGTTTGTACAAGAAATTACAGAAATCCACGTCATAGTGTATGAGAAGCAGTGAAAATTGTGGGCCAAATTTGAACCATTCTCATATTTATAGGCTGAAAACCATTACCGCAAGCAGTAAGAAAGTATCATGCAAGCATGTTTAGCATTCTTACCAGAATACCCAGGAGGACATACGCAGGTGTAGCCATTGATGTCATCCAAGCAAGTGGCATTGTTGAAGCAAGGGTTAGAATCGCATTCATCTAGGTTTTCTTCACACGTGTCACCTGTGCCATTTAATTAGGGGGAAAAAAGCTTTGATAAACCAAATTAATTTGTGCCAAAAATTAAGTGACGGTATTTGTAAAATGTTAGTGTGCATTTTTTATATCTCATTTCCTTCCAGTAAGGGTTATATATCTGCAAGAAATACCTGTGTAACCATCAGGACATGTGCAGTTAAAAGCAGCCACGCCATCCTGGCAAGTTCCTCCATTTAAACACGGCGAAGACCAACATTCGTCCCAGTTAGTCTGACACTGAACTCCAGTGTAGCCATCGATGCAGTAACAAGTGTACGAACTAGAAGTATCAAACAAAGGAATAATCTTTTGCAAAGAGAAAACCTGGTAATGCTTTCATATGAGTAGGATGAATGAAAAATGAGATAGTTCTAAAAATTCGGCTGTTAATTTTTCTCTGTACAATAGTCTGAATTGTATTTTCTGAGAAAGAGATTAATTTAATTTATACTGCTGTGTCTAGGATGAAAATATCAGTGGATAAATGCTTGTTTGTTCTCTACATGCATTTATTTGGTGTTCTTTAGCTCTAGTGTAAGCCTAAGCAAAGAATGTCGTGTGCGCCCGTTGACGTCTGTATATTTCATCTTTCAGCTAACGCCCTCAAGCACTAAGCAAACCTCAGACCTTCACCAGTGGGTGAAGTGATCCCAGGTGCCTGCACTTTCAGGGTTCCACCCCTACTGAGGCCACCATCTCGAGGCTTCTGTCCGATCGGGACAGCCTGGGCTTCCTCTCCCAACAAGGCTTGACACCCCTCAATGCTTTACCAAGTAGCCCCTTCCCATCAAGTTTGTTTCTTGGTGCTTAGCCCCTTGGGCGTACTGCAGCAGGGTATATCAGGAGGCCTACTACAAATTAAGTATATGAAAAGAGTAGTGATAACAAATGGATGGTTACTTTTGATATTAATTGTTATACGTATAAAAATGAGGTTATAAGGTTAAACATCGTGTGGTATAAAGAACACCTTTCTAATTTTCGTATTCCTTTCTCTGTGTTCCTAAAAAATAGAAATGCAAGGGCAGTAGGACTCATTAATCTATGAACATTCTTGGTGAGTAACACTTAAATGTTTATAGAATTAAATCTTTGGCAAGTGAAACACAAATATAGAAAATTAATTTTTTGTGTTGTTTGACAATAGTTTATTTAAATGTTTCAAACAGAATAAGACAAGGATTTCTGTGTGTATGTGTGTTTTTAATACGTAGTTTGAGTGTGTATAAAATGGCTGTAAAATTAGTATTATTATCAGTTAAATTAATGTGCCAATATTTATTAATTTCCAAACTTTTACCTGTTGAGGTGATCGATGCAAATTCCATAAACGCAGGGGTTGCTGAGGCAGGCAAAACCAGCAAATGTAAATTTGAGGAATGCCCAAGTGGCACACGCGGCCACCAGCAGGTGTTTATTGGAGGACCGCATGGGGCATCCTTGCTCCAACTTCTGTGTCTTGTACACCCTGCATCAAACATGCACAGCTTCTGGTATTTGTGGTGCGAGTACAGCATTTACGTGACTACTTGCAGTTCATGTGTTGTACATTGTTCATAGTTTTATTTAAAAAAGCGTATGTTTGTAGAATGACAGAGCACAAATATTCTTTATTGTACCCACAAATGAGGTGAAACTTTATTATGAATTAGTTTAATTGCATAGATTATGCAGTGAGAGATAGTAAATGACAAACAAAGAGGATGTGATCTCTCCACAAAATTCCAGAATGCTTTCACGTCAAACTACAGGTTTTAAAATGTTGCTCAGTGCAGCCAAGAAATATACAGGATGGGACATAATTAGTCATCTGGAGGAAAGTATGGGAGTATTCTAGGCACTTTTTGTGATCTCTCGCCTGCAGTTCTCGTAACAACTGAATCTTGTACGGAAAATTATCTAAATTTTGTGTCAAGATTTCTGCGAAACTCTCTCTGCGTCAGCGAAACTAAGCAATTGTTTGTGAAATAATTCAACAATTGCTTCATTCTGCTAGACTTTATAGCAATTCCTAATAATTTCCCAAGCCTCTACATTATTTCTGCAAAATAGAAATCTTATAAAATAAAATAAAATCCAGTTATATAAATTGAGATGATTAATTTTGCATCGCTTGGTATAAAATATGTGTAATAGAAATCTACATGTGAGTAAGCACCAGAGGTATATTTGGCCTATTCATTGTCGCCATAAGCACTAAGACACGCATGCCTTTCTTGTGGACGCCTATCGTACCAAGGCGGACACAAGATTCCGAAAATGCGAAGAAGGGCCAAAGGATGACATAACACGACGCCGAGCGACGTGAGGTAGCCAGTTGTCAACGTTTGTCTCTCGCAGAGGAGCCCAATCTGATGACCTCAGGATGTCATACCACTACCACACGACGTTGGCAGACCGACGCCAAGTGTCGCGGCGACTGTCGCCCCGATCCCCACACGAGGAAATGAATAAAGCGAAGAGGGACCTCGGGACGACGCTGGCCGACACTCATCCTTCCCCAAAAAACAAAACTGGAAAGGTTTAATTTGAAGATGGCCGTCTTCTGGGTTGTTGCACCTTGTAGTCTGGTAGAAGTTTGCCGACGTTTCAGAGGTCCTTGCTGATTCCATCATCAGGGCGATGAGTGGCAGTAAGTCCACTAATTGTTGGAAAGAAAACATTAAAGCGGGCCCGGATTCACATAACTAATACTTGGAACCTGAAAATAAAATTACTTTCCGAAACGAACCTTCCTTTCGGGCGTTTCGAAGTTAATATACACAAGGAAGGTGCCAATGTTGGAGGGAAATTTTTATAAATTCTGCATATTCTTTGACTTTCCAAAGAACCTCTTCTCCCAATGTGCTGTGCGGGAAAGAAAAGCGATACACTTGCCCGACAATAATTGAACTGTTAACGATACTTTGTATCTGTTCAATAAGCGATCTTGCCAGGCTGCGTATCTCTCAGAGCAGTAATTGTATAAATTACTTGGCCATCACAGGACTAACTCGACATCCACATAAGAGGTGAGGTCACCAAGTATGTAAGTTTAAGTCCGTTTTATTAACCTAACCTCAGACACAAATTTCCCGTGTCACTTATGAACATGACACGTAATTTGTTGTGGTAGGCCTGTATTGCTGAACACACACACACACGCAAAGCTCTTTAACATGTGATACTTCTCTGCGTCAACATGGCAGGCTCTTTGTGATATTCAGGGTTTTTTTTTACCGCGGTGAAAATTTGGCTTGTGGTGTTGTGGTACGTGACGAATCGTACTTTGAACGTGGTTAGCCAGGTTTCAGAGGATCCTACTACCGCCATCTTCAAGATGGAAATATATTCCACCGAAACGCTACAACACTACAATACGAAGTATTCCAGAAAACCAAAGTATTGTTAAAATTAAGCTAATGTATGAAATTGTTTTTCTTTAATTTATGTTTCTAGCCTCCGCCCCAAATTAATTCCTAGGACTGCCACATGTATTTCAATGCCTCCCTATTTGGACGATTTTGCAGCAGCTGAACTTGCTGACTCTCCATGTTGCTAGTAAACTGAAGATTACACTTCATATAAAATCAATGAACAAACTTAGTATTTAAATACATGAGCACAATCGATAAAAGCGGAAGATGCGCACAATTTTTTTAAAAAGTTTGAATAATACTTGTGGTTTACGGTGTTATAGAAGTTACTTACTCGTAGTTTTCGGCTTGGGAATTTATTGCATGAAACAGAAATAAATTAAATATATGGAAAATATTTATGAACAATTGGGAGATTGCCTTTCATTAAACCACCTTACTATAGAAATAATACAAATCAAAACTATAATCCACGTGCTTCAAAATATTGAGCGTAGTAAAAAATATGCACGTGCTTCGTACGGGAAGTGCATGGTATACACTGAATAAAAAATAAGAACTTTTAAGATGGCACGTGAAGGAAGTACATATTGATTCTTTTGGTGGCTTCCCGCAGGCCAACGCTGTCCAAACCACAGCCTCGGTTTGAAAATCAAACCTTCCAATTAATCTATTCGCTTTTAATTAATCACGTTTCTTAATAGCTAATGTCACTTACTTTTGATTTTATCCCTTGTTCCTTTTTTAGTGGCGGTTATTCCAAGAATAGACTTTGCGTCAACCATACACACCTTACAATGTATTTTGTTCCACAAAGTAGGTACCTGCTGCGTGTATCCATGACAACCATAGGCCTAAATAACATAGAGGGGTGTACCGCCTGCGTGTTTAAAAAAGCGGATCTAGTGACTTATTCAGTTTCTTGTGATCGATGTTGGTATTATGCTACTCCATACATCAATACCAACATATTCAGTTTTCCAAAATTATATAGCTTTGTCGCGGTGTGAGTCGGCCGTGAACCACAATACAATTGGCATATTAGATAATGTATCTAGGTCGGTTTTATGTAGGTGTGCCGGTAGAGGTGAAAGGCGTTTGTTACGAGGACAAGTGAACGAGTGCACTTTGGCGTGTGCAGTGACTGCTCGTAAGAAATCAAATATCGACCAAACGTGGTTTGTGATGGACGAGATTTAAGATTTGATACAGGAAAAGCAGAGGTATTTCTGAAATTTCTTTTCTTTGAAATGCTGCTATATTATTTTCAATAGCCATTACCACATTAGTATACAGTTCCAGTGTTTGTTAATAGCTGTGTGAATATTTCTTTCATCACAACTGTTACAGATTATCATAGCAACAGAACGAGGTTTTTGGGACGAAATATCATCCTGGATTTTGACTTTCTGTCCTTTAACTTTGTTTAAAAGGAGGATGGATCTGAACTGAAAATAAAATTGTCTCTGTGCCTAAGTGTCATGCATAGGCCGACACATTGTTCAGTGTCCATACATTTGATGAACCTGACGTTTTGATAGCTGGCTGTACTCCCATCTCCAGGTGACTGGTTGTCATTATACTGACTGACTTCAAATTTTGTTGTTGTTTGTGATATTAGGCAGATGAATCACATAAATTATAAATATCTTCAGAAGACGATTTTAAGATTAGTGGTACCATTGTGGTCTGAAACCAATATCTTTGAACACTAAGTTAGGTGATAAGTACAACAATTTCTACTGCAATAATTTAGTCGTATGGCATTTATTTGCAGGGTTAGTCACCAGTGAATTGTAATGGACACGGATCCCGGAATTCTGTGTTTTCAGCATTGCAACTCCAAGGTGTTCTGTTTTAAACTGCCTGAGAAGTGTCCGTTATGCAGCAGTCATCTATCAACTGCACATTTCAGGCTGTTACCTTTCAGGTAATTGGTAAATGTTATTCTGAAATGTGTCTCTAGTAAAAGAAAGGCCTACGGACTGAACGGTTATAGCCGAAAAGCTCCTGGTAAAGGAGGGTCCCCACCCCCAAAGGCCAGAGTCAGAATTCATACCTAGGAAATGACAGAATTTTTTTTTTAAAAGATGGCCAGAGCCTGAAGCTGACCACTCACCAACACACAGTCCGACGATCGTGAACGCACACTTCTTTACATTTGCTCATCTAAAATGACCGTGACACCGCTGAAGTTTAGTTAAGCAGTCTGTTCCGGCTGTAAAATTGTCTCAAATGTAAATATGATTACGTTACAGAATCCCGTACCCATTTGTGCGAGCGGTCCAGTACCCATGCTCCATAGTGATCAAGCCCACCACTGGCGATTTTTTACAGTAGGTATATTATTGTTCCCCGCTAATTGCTGTAGTTGTTCTGAATGAAGTGGACTGATGAAAATCAAACCTTGTATGTGTAAACCAGTACATTTTCCAGGAGACACTAAAAGGTCTTCCAACCCTCATGTAAGACTAATTTAGTTTTCAAAATAATTGTTGTGACCATGGTTATATTTAAACCTGCGTAGACTGTTTTCATTTTTGACTGGGAAACATGTAAATATTAATAATGATATGAATAATAAATATGAGGAATAATAAAGCAATCCAGTCATACATGAGGTAAGGTGACAGTCAAGAAATTCTTCAAAGGTTCATTACCTTGTTCACAAAATCAGCTGGTCCTGTCTTAAGCCAATTAAATGCAGTCCACACACACACACTTAAACTCTGTATACATGGGATCTGTTTTAATAATATGCTCCCATTCATTCCTAGATCTTTAGATTTCCTCATTCAAATTTTATATGCATTTTTTTTGAGCCTCCTGTTACTTCCTTATATGTCCAAAGATAGTAAATTATCATCATTTTTATTGATTTTTCAGTGACTATCTGAATTGTATGGATCTGCATATCGGAGTGACAAATTCTGAAGGACGAGTTGTCGAGTTTGATAGGGCTGGCTTACAGCAATGTAGAACAGGAATGTGGTATCAGTGTCTGGTAGTGGACGGGGCAGCCGGGCCTTGGCGGGAACACTGGGACTGTACCTTGAAAGCGATGACTGACCAGGATTGCTGGTCGCCACAGAGGTGTGTTCTCACTGCAGCGTATAGGTCATTGCAATAAGTTGCATCGTCGTTGGTGTTAATGGTCTTTTGATCAAGAAACTGTTAGACATTAATCATATTTCATAACATGCTGTGTGTAAAATATATCTTTATTTTTCCGAGGCGTAACAGCCCTCTGAGAGCCAAAGCCGACTAGCTGGCCTCATGTTCACATGCCTAAGCAGAGGTGAACGATCATCCAACCAGATATACGCTGACGTGTGGTCAGCACGACGAACCCCCAGCCATTGCTAGTTTTCATGACCGGGTAAAAGTTATCTTAATTTATGGAAAGGAATTTGGAAAATTAAGGGATGAACAGCGGTGAAACTGCTGTTTCCGTCACTGTCAAGTCTTTAGAATAATACTTCATTAAATTGGATGTTTCAACCATTTTAATTCCTGAAATATGTTTAACCACACTAACCCTCAGTATTTTTTGTATATAATATTATTAAAATAGTACTTTTGTTTGGTAGGATTTGAGGTTCTCATGGCAGTGAGTCCGAAAGATGGCTGTCTTCTGGGTTGTAGCACCATGTAATCTGGTAGAAGTTTACCAACATTTTAGATGTCCTTGCTGACTATATCAAGGTGATAGAGTCCTGTTGATGGCAGCAACATTGACCTCTGAAACTTCTGTCAGACTACACAACGCTACAACCTAGAAGACAGCTCTCGAAATTGTTTTACTTGTTTGACCCTTTACGAAGAGTTTACCAATAAATCTGATGGAACAAAAACGATATAAAATCTAGGATTTCAGACTTTCGCGGCGAGTACAATCAATAAAATCTTCTTGGGCAATCAGCCGCATCAACTGGTTACTGTATTGATTGACGCAGCTGAATGCCCAAGAAGATTTTATTAATAGAAAATCTCTGTGGTGGATAGTTTGTGAATCTGACCACAACGCTTTCCTTCCAATTCCTTATTCTTTAATCATTCTGTCGTCTGATGCTTTATAGTCTGAGCTGCTGACAGTGTAATTAAATAAGCCATAAATAAATGATTTGTCTGTTCTGCTTAGTTTTTTAAGCATCTACATTAATTTCTATCACAAGGTTTAAATAAAAATGTGAGTTTTATTAATTTATGGCTGTTTCCATATGAGGAAGCTTAAAATATTATTGCATCAAGCTCGTAGCATATTCTGGTCTATTACTTAATTACTGTAGAATTATTTCTCTCTTTTCATTTAGGTATAATGAGGAGACATTCAACTGCTATACTTTCGTACTGACATTTCTGCGTAATCTACGCTATGGAAACCTGAGCAAGGCAGCCGGCAGTCGAACAGTGTTCTGCGAAAATTTCATTGTACCTCGAACGACAGCAGCAGGAAAATACATTTCTTTGTATCGCAAACTAAGTGACATGGATTGTTACATTCAGAGACATCCTGGCGCGGACGTCGCTTATGTCGCTCTGCCGAAAAGATGATGCGATGTGTTCTGTAGTGGAGATTGCTGTACGTCGTACTGCATCTGGAAATCTAAAAGAGAAGGTTTTGGATTGACACTGTCCAAACGTGGAAAGATAGTGCTTGGAAGAAATTAATGTTTTCAGAGTGTTGGTGCAGTAATGAAGCAAGTCTCTTGCTTTACTTCAGTTTTTATCTAAGTCATGGCCCAACCCAAGTTTTCTCTATGTATTTTATTTCATAAACTTTTTGTTTTTCATATTTTTGTCATCATAATCATAGCTTAAATTCCCCATAATTTTTAATACAATAAAATAATTGCTTTGCACAAATAATCAGTGTTAGAAAAAATTGTTATGCTGTTAATTGCATTGTCATGTCATAGTTATTGACTTATGACTGTTTTAAGCAGAGGAGAAGCTTAAAAAACTGGACATTTAATTCTGTCTTGGTAACTGTACTTGGTTATTATTATTATTATTTAGTGTTCTGTCTGACGACAGGTCCATATGAACAGGATCCTTCCATCCTTTTCTCGGACTGGGACCTGTTCATATACGTTCTTGGCAGATGATCCAGAAGTGGTTTGCCATTGCCTTCTTCTGTGTGTGAATGGAGTAATTGTTGGGATGCCACGGAGGAAAACTCCGTGTTGCCTAGACCATGGCCTTGCCCAACACAAGTTATAAATTCGGGCACCGCCGGGAATCGAACCCGAGACCCCAGGACTACAAGGCCAGCGTTCTAACCGCTAGACCACCGTGTACTTGGTAGAAGAGATAAAAGCTTGATAGAAATTAAATTCACTGGAATATTTTGCATTAATTCGTGAATAGTACGAATTAAAAATTAATTTCCCTATTTTGGAAATTTCCCAAACAGATTAAAGTAACGCAACATGTCGAATGCTTTTGGTTTTTGATAACGCTAATATCTGAACTGTATGTGATGGAAATCTAAATGCAGGGGTCCACTAGTTCGGTGAAACAATTCAACTACTGCGTACGGTACATCAGCATCTACCATAAAACGTCATGGCTCGCTGGACATAAGGTTTGCAATAAGCCCATGCACCACTAACTCCCACCATCACTGTTCCAACAAACAGGCCGTACTCTCCACGCTGGTATACAGAGCTAGACCTTTTTATGACGGAAAGCCTACAAGGTGAATTTCTCAGGACCACTTTCAAGCAGAATGGCTACAGTAAGTATCAGGCTCTCAGTCCACCAGAGTCACTCCTGCCTCAAAGAATACTTTCTTGGCCACCTCCCCCTACCCCTTACGAGCACAACCTTGAACATGATCAGCAGGCTGCTTGCTATCCAGGCACAACATGAAGTGCTTGGGCCTTCCTTCGGGGAAGATTCCCAGTTTCCTTCGGCCTGTGAAGGATGACTTGGGATCCAAGACTCCAGACATGTAAATTATTATTAGGGTATTATCCTGATGACTGAGACAGTAAGTTTGTCTCTACCAGACTGCGTGTTGAAATAACCTAGACATTCAGATATTTCTGAAATAGACGTTTCTTCGTTGGATTGTAGTTGACGTCGTTATCGGCTGAGCCCTAGCTTGTTTTTATAGTGCCTTTACTGCAGCTGCGGATAGGTGGCAGAACAATAGAAGCGTGATGTAATATTCTACTGACGTTTTAACTTATGTTTCCATTGCGTGGTACCAACATGTGCATGTCTAGTTTCAGTGCAATTGTGCGGCAAGTAATGATTGGTTTAGTGTAAAGTATATCTTTTTGTAATCAACGTTGTGAGTTATATATTCCTAATGATGGGATCATTACCGGTTTTTATGAACAGAATTATTCGCATTTCTACCACGAATTCGGTCACTAACGTAGGAAAGTGTGTACCGCTGTGCATTCGCACCAATGTTGGGGTTATCAATCGGTCTCTCATAATCAGAGAACTGACAGAGCGTGACACAATTCCTAACGATGATGACATTGAATTTGATTATTTGCATACTGGAAGTAGGGAAATTAACAGGAAAGCAACAGTTTCCATGCTACGGGGCTTACTTAGTTGTTCTGATAAACAGATTGAGTCAATGGTACAAAAGTGCCCAGAACTTAAATTCGTTAGCGCTAAAAACGCACAGTCTAATATTAAGTTGTTTACGGAAAGGGGTGTTTCAGAAGAAATTCTGCATCAGAATCCTTGGCTTTTGAAGTACAAAACAGGTGATTAAAATTTTTACACTTCAATAAGTTTAATCAGAATCATTATTTCTTAACAAGTACAGTAGAAACAGGTTTCAGAATTTAGATCCGATTGTAAGAGATATGCAAGTAAACTTACCCATTAAAGACAGTTAATCTGTCTTAGGTCCAAGTATATTATTATCTGTGTAATATATTATTTGCACTATAATTTTGTATTAAGAGATTTATGTTGTCGGCATGTAAGCATATTTTTTTATTTCCTCTTGTAGTGTTTTTTTTTTATTAGACCATGGATGATAATTCATTTGAGCAGTGTGTTGCTTGCATTAGATTCCTCTGCAGTGTCAGGCTACATGAAGTACGATGTATACTTAATATAAGCTAAACATTGCACACTTAATTATGTTTTTATTTTAACAAAATGTATTTCATTGGTTCTCTAATCTACTTTCACATGACATGTACACATCTGTCTTGTCATCTAGAATTTTAATGTTTTTTATTGTCTTACTGTGTTATTATGTATTAGATGCACTTTCATACAAGCTGGATATTCTTAAAAAAATGAATTTGGATGATGTTGCTGCAGTACTGCCTCTCCTTCAGTTTTCCATAACTAAACTCAGAGACTTTGCAGCTTTGGCAGAAAAAGAATCCCATGAATTTCCTTATGGTAACCGCATAAAATACACTTCTGAAAAGCTTCAGGTAGATATCTGTTCTATTTGTGTAGGTGTCAGTGCGATAGATATTTCGTTAATTTATTCTTTTTCTTTTCTCTGCTGTGCTAATTTCTGTTCCAGTGTACCTTGGAAGATGTGTGTAAGGAGTTTGAGAAACATAAATTTTTATTTTATATCCCATTAGACCGTTTTACAACCATATTGGATATGCTACTTGGTATGTATGTACCATTACTATATGTAAAGACTGTAATGAATTTGTGGGCACATTCGGAAACTCTTTAATTTGTAGAAACAGACGCTTGAACATTTAAGACACTTTCTCCCCTGGAGATAGAGCAAAGACTAATTCATGCAGCACAGGTATTAGGAACAGAGACTTAACACACTTTCAAATTTAAGTGAATGGGTTTTTTCATCAGTAACAGTCTGGATATGAATAATGGGTTAAAGGATGTTTATTATAAAATAAGCATTCCTTTTGTTAAAACTTTTCTTGTCAATTTCTGTGGGATGCGTTAATAGCAGCAGATCGAGTCTGCCTCGTATTTAGGCTTGAAATGTCAGCTAGAGTAAGCTACGAATAAAATGGTGAAGCAGCCTCAGAGTACAAATTAAAGTGTTTTTGAGAAATTTTGTGGAAATTTCCCTTAAGCATACTTAATGCTCATGAACACTTATTTACTGTAAAGAATAAACTTTCAGGAGCTGGAATTTCTCCTCAGTACATCTTGAGCGATATGTGGGCGTTACGTTACAATGTCAGCAACATAAAAAGACGGTTAGACATGGCTAAGGAAGCGCAAATCAGAACTCTCAAACCATGGATGTTACGTTGCTCATTAAAAGTATTTTATAAGTAAGTACGTAATATATTAAGTATGCAGGTATAAAACTTAACAGTAAGTGTTCTGTCAGTCATAGTATTCTGGGTTATGAAGCTATGTTGATGTGCTTCAACCTTGAAGATCAACATCTTCACCACCAGGAGAACCTCAGATCACTTTTTTTTTTCTTTAACAGTAAACTGCAGAAAGAGGTGGCAAGAGAAAAGCTTCTCGGTGAAAGTTCAGTGTCGGAGTACCTCGCCCAGCAACTACAATGTGATGCTGAAACTATAGAATATTTGGGTTCAAAACACCCACCAATATTGAGAATTCACGTGTCCAAACTGAAGGAGATTTTGGATTTTCTGTACAGAGAAGGATATACCTCTCAACATATATGCCAAGTTCCTCGAATACTGTGCCATAGTCTCGAGACGACAAAATCACGCCTTGCACAACTGAGGGAGTTAGGTTTCAATCCAACGTCTCTCATAGTGCTGTGCAAAAGCAAGCGTGAATATGCTCAATTTTTGGAACAGGTGATAAGAAAGAAAAACAGATGATTGGGGTTAATTTATTTACAGTTCTATACATGTGACGATGTTCATGTTGTTGCAAATCGTTTCTTGGACTGTACAAATGTAGAGGAAGAATTAAGATGAATGAAGAGCACGGCCGCTGCTAATCGAGCTTGTGTTTCCTGTTGGTTCAAGTCGTGAGCCCATTCAACTCGACCCCAATAACCACTCTGAGAAAATAGCACGCCAAATTAGTCAGTAATGCCATGGAGGAGAGTCCACGATGAGATTCTAATGATTGTTCAGCTATTCAAGAAATCCCTATACATCTTCACACCCTCATTCTTTAAGATTCATTTTAATATTATCCTTCCACCTGTGCATACATCTACATATGCACTTCTCATCTTCCCAATGTCTCCTGTAATTTCCTCTCTCTTAGGCCAAAATATTTTCCTCAGACACTCAATTCCTTAAGGGGAGAGTACATTTCAAAGCAAGCAGTATAACATTCTTAATCTAAAACATTTTTAAAAAATATGTACCTTTTAGGAAGCCTGAAAATTATTTTTGCAGTAAACCATTATTACATGCTGAATATTTTTAGTTCTTTCATCCTTTTTTTATATCTCCCCCACAAGGTGAATGTGACTGACTTCATTTTCCTTACCTGGAACTCTTCTTCAAGTCGAGAGAGCAGGACAGCCTTTTCAATACTAATATACCTCTCTACACAGCACAGTGTCAAAATTACAGACTTCAGCGCTTCAACTCCAAAACTGAAACCTAATTATAACCCTTGAATAAATAACATAGTATTGACTCAGAAATGAACTACTGAAAACATTAGACAATAAACGAACATATATCTCACTGTACGATGAACCTGGCAACTGAGATTAGTACACAAACTATTATCAGCTCTAAGGATTAAAGCTTTGAAACTCATCTTAATAATAATCATGATTTCAGTGAATTGTGAAATCCAAGTGAGGAGGGTTAGGAAAGTTTATGGGCTATGTAGGGGTAGGTGGAGAATCAAGCAGGGATGTCTGATCAACCAGAACCACGGAACAGGAAGGGGAAATGGAGTGACGAACAGGAATATCCCCTTTTCAGGGCCATCAGGCTGGTTCAAGATAAGGGAAGAGGTAGCCATTTTCAGGGCCTCTAGAAAGGAAGGTTGAATCAAGAGAAAACATGCTTTGCCCTTTTCTCCCTTTGAACTTTCCATGACCTGCTCCAGGAAAATTCAGCCTCTGTTCATGTTGCTAGGATACAGCTTGATCTCTACCACTTCGGTGATGAACTTGCAAAACAAAGCTCCGTCCTAACGACAACAACAGAAATGAACAATTTCTCCCTGAGCAGGTCATTTACATGGATCCTGAAATAACAGAAGAAGGGTCTACAAACAAGACGCACTTCCTGTCGATCCTTCCACTTCCTTTCTGCAGGTCATAAAAGGTCTTTTTACCTAGCCTTCATTTCTGCTGACTCTAGAAGGGCTACTTTCCTGTTCCTCAGTCCTTGTTCCAGATTTGGCTCCATCTCGTCTCATCATCCTGTGACTCTGATTGGTCGGTCTTCCAACCCGATCCTCCGCTTAACCCTAACTTCCTAGCTCTCCTCACTTCAGAAAAAACAGAAAACTACTATCTGATGCCATGAAAAACTCAGATTTTGCAGTGACCAAAATAATTGTTTTATATACTTTAATTTTTAAACACTTTCTTGGAATAAAAGCAATATAAAACCTACCGTGAATAGCCCAAAAATTATAGGATAAAAGATGCTTTGTAAGTACATTCTTAGTTTCTTGATCAATAATTGGGCCAGAAATATCTCTTGCAGCTTCAAGTTTCACGCCATAGCGCTTGCAGAACCACTTCAGTACGGGGTCCCATTCTTGTATCTGCTGTTCATATAGCTCATCTGCTTCCTGGAACAGGATCGTCGCCACTAAGAAAGTGAGTCAGGTTCGGGAACTAGGAATTCTCCCAGTGTCTCTCAAACTTTTTTTAGCTGATTGTACCGTAAAATTATGGACTGTAAACGTAGATAGAGAATTAAACTTACACTAGATTGATACAGCACAGTATCTGTATCCAAGCAGCCAATTATATGTTGGACGAGATCAGACTTTGTTAATTTATTTGGGTTGTCAATGGCTGTACTGCAGAGACCGCTCTGTAAAATAAGAAAGGAAGGCAGCAATGTAAAATACCATAGAAGAACAAGTAGCGAATGAAACCATTCATTAGATGAATGTAGGTCAATCTTATGAAGTACTAATGAATCTTTATATAACGGTAGAAATATACTGCATAGAGAAGAGACAAATGTTAAGAAATCCTTTGTTTACTCTGTCATTAAGTCTCTCAGTTACCATAAACTTTTTGCTTAATACTATCCTCTACGTGTAGTGTAATCTGTGACTACAAGTGACGCTCGTCCATTATGGCTGGATACGTACCAAGTGCATGGAACTTTGCTGAATTTTTCCTTTCTGTGCATCCCATTCAGCTGCGACGGCAAGTGCCAAAGGTTCGCTTTCAATGACAAATGGGCTACCTTTTGGTGATTTCAGCTTTCGTTGATCGAGAGTTATTTCAAATTTTCCATCACCGCGTAATATGCCCGTTTTTCGGTAAAATCTTTTTGGTGCTGAAATAAACAGATTACTCGGTATCCAGAACATAAAAAGCTGTTCCTTTATATTACCATATTTAAGCAAAAAATGAACATGATATTTGGTTTTTGGAATGAAATTTTTTCTTATTTTTACTTGATTACAAGCTACTTTTCTGTCAGCTGTAGTAAAGCATGCTGTGTGTATATATGACCCCTTTACTTCCACTTTCTAGCATAACTTTCATTGACTGGAATCCAGGAAAACATGACACAGGAGTTGTTGAAGATTGGTGTTGATAACATGGCTGCAATAATGCGTGACTACATGCCTAACAGGTAACACTTCTTTCTGACAGGACATTAGAATGTCCCAAGGACAATTTAAATCTTAGCATAATTCCATACTTATGTAAACAAACATTTTATGAGTGATCTTCTGACTATGCCAGGCTGGGGTTAAGTAAAGCACAGGCGATGCTTGTTATATCTGCTTTTGCTATCCACATTCTTGCATATCTGCAGTTTTATTTGTGTCATGAGGAACAATTTTAAAATCTTAATTATGCTGAACCTTCTCCAGGCTTTTCTGGGGATATGATGCAGATGAGATTAGGAATTCTGTTGCCAGTTTAACATCAAAGTGGTGAATGCTATATGTTTCCTGTTTTACATGTTTCATAAAATATGTATCAATTCACAGATCAACCGTACTATATAACAATAAGACGATTTGTTTACAGTTTAATTTGTTAAATGCATTTCAGCCCCCATGGGGCTATCAGTGATGCCATATTTGCTTCAAACTCAAACAGATTATAAAACAAAGCACTGAATTGTTTGAAATCCATATAACAAATATTGTACAAGCAGCTAATGTGTATGAGCCGCTTCTAGCTGGGTCAACCTAATGAATTACAAGCAATATGGTAAGGTAGACATGCCTCATGCATGTACCAAGCCCACACATTTCTGGAGACTGACTCCATTCTTGTGTTCCACGCACATAAGCAGACGAATGTCACTGAATTAATCGTAAGTATTACATAGATTTTAACTTGGAATATATGGTTATATAAACACCGTTATTAGTGTTACCAGCATAATGACGAATGAGGGTTAAAGATGACGGATAACATTTTTTAATACTGAAAGTGGCAGAAACTGTTTTAAACCGCAACAAGCTAGGGTAAAATACTGGAAATGTGTTTAACATTTTCGTGACAAAGACTGGATAATACTATCACAAAACTCCACCACTAACAAACTATTTCCGCGGACCCTAACCCCACCTCGCACTAGAAATTTAAAGTTGGTAATCTGTAGTATGTATCTGAATGACTAGTATCACGTTAAACATACAACTATACACGGGCATAACGTGAATGAAAACAATCGAATTACGATTGTTCGGATGTGTCTATTAATGTAATTAGTTAAATAAATCGTATTAATTTATTTGCGTTCCAAACGACTGATTTGAAGTGGCGTATTTGAGTAGGGCAATTTCAGCTGTTTCTATTTAGCCAAAATTGAGCGGATTTATTACATACTATTCAGTAGTCATATCTGTATACACAATGAAGTAATATACAATCAGTTTTGTCGATAGTCGTTTGTGGTTTCTAATATTTCGATTTAAGCCAATCGACTTCCCAGTTATAGATACGTTTAAGTTGTTACTTTCTCATTCAAATAGTATACTGTTATATGTCATTTTGGTATCGGTGATGGTGCGAGGTTAGTGATAATTTACATTAGTGATCTTAATGTTAAAGAGTCGTGTCACCGTTTTATGGTGTACTGTAGAATGTGACTTGGAATGGCAGAAGTTCACTTAATTGGCCAAATAATCGGAGCAAGTAAATTTCCGAATCAAAGTTTGTTTTGCAAGTGGGGAATACATGCAGGTAAGTTAATGAAACAACAGTTCAGCATATGTTCACATTGCGGAGATGTAGTGACTATTTACACTTTAGTTAAAATGGTTTGTATTGCACAATGAAAATTAGAGTCATTCTATGTGAAATCAACACAGCAGAAGCATCTTGGATTTTAATTACATTTTCTAAGCCTGCATAATCAGGTAAGTGATAACATGAAGTTTTTTCAGAAATTTTAAGTTTCCCCATAATTTTCTGAATTCTGATTCACTGAAATGCTTGTAACTCTTGAGAGAGCCAATTATTGTATCTACTGGTAAACTTCTACCATACTATACAGCATAACAACACAGAAGACAACCATCTTTGGACTCACTGCCATGAAAACCTCAGATCCTACAGCCTCTGAAGTGTTAATAAACTCTACCAGACTACACTGCACAACATTTCAGAAGACATACATTTTTATGTAGAATTTGAAGTTTTCATGGCTGTGTGTCTGAAGATGGCTGTCTTCAGGGTTGTTGCACCATGTAGTCTGGTAGAAGTTTGCCATTTTTGTCTGAATATTTTTTTGTGCATTCACATTTGGCAATATTTCCCTCTCAGGTGGAAAAACACTTTTTTCTAAAACTTATCCTTTCCTTATGTCTGTGACTTCACTTCAAAGGGAAGAACATAGATTGAAGATGATTAAGAACTAGATTGTTGGTTCATTTCACAAACTGTTATTATGATGATATTTCAGCTTCTTGCATCAGCAAGTATGAAGATGGCAGTCTTCTGGGTTGTAGCACCGTGTAGTCTGGTAGAAATTTGCTAACATTTCAGAGGTGCTTTCTGCCTCCATCATTAGGATAGTCATTGCAAAAAACCCAGAAGACAGCCATCTTTATTATCGTGGTGATCAATTACAGAAGGTTGGGATGGGTGGGGCATGTAACACTAATGCAAGAGGTGGCAAATAAAAAAAATGTTGGAAAGTCTGAAGAGAGGAAATTTCTCGGAGAATTAGGCATAGATTGAAGGATGATATTAAAGTGGATATTAAATAAATAGGGTTTGAGGTTATATACTGGTTTCATATGGCTTAGGATAGGATACAGTGGTCAGATATTTCAGACATGGTAATGAAACTTTATGTAATTTCTTAATTGATAAACTGAGCAGTTGTTAGCATCAAAAGGACTCTGCGCCATTGAGCTAGTTTTTATGTATGAGCCATTTTAGCACGTAATGATTTGCTTCAACTACAGGAGGTGGCTGGAAAGTAATATCTGGGTTGAAGGAAGGTCAGACCCAAGTAGACAGTCCCGCGTGTGACGGCATTACATACTGGTGTCATCCAGTAGACATTCATTTTGCAACGAAGGGCATTCAAGGTAAAATGGTTTCTGTGTTTAAGTAATTGTGTTAGGACACTAATTTATCAAGTGTCTTGGTGTTGTTAAAAAATAATTACATCACTTCACAGGTTGGCCCAAGCTACATCTTCAAGTGTATCACCTGGACCAGTTCGGCCGAAGTGAGATATACGGTTATGGATTCTGTCATGTACCAACTGCTCCTGGATGCCATACTTTAGAATGTGTCACTTGGCGACCTACTGGTTTGATTTTAGATTGAAATTCAAGCTATTAAAAATAAGAGGTGTATCTGAAAGCTAAAATTAATGAGTCTCAAGCAGGTAGTAAAATAAACATATTGAGACTTGTATAGAGCCACAAGATGCGGTTGTGAACGGTAAACCGTAGAAAAGTCTTTTCAAGATTTCCCCTATCCCTCAGGTTAAATGATAATGGTGCAGGCCCTTTTGGGCTCCCCTTCCTCCCGGTAGTTGTAAAGGATTTGGCATACCTCCAAATAAAAAGTAAAAATGAAATTCAAAATCCCCCCCCCCCTCAATATTACAGTAATAGAAACTTTAAGGATAATTAATAAAGCTGATGGCTGAATTATAGCGATGAAGATGACTGTCTTCTGAGATGTTGTGCCCTGTAGTCTGGTAGAAGTTTACAGTAAACTTTTACCAGACTACATACTACAATATCTCAGAAGAAAGTAATCTTAATACTTGTCGCATTGAGAAACCGAAATATCATCTCATTTATAGTAATTTTTTTTCGAGTTTTGGTTAAGCGTAATTTTTTATTCTTCGCCGTAGTGCCTTGTCATAAGGATGTGTGTAAATACAGGTAGAAATTACACTGATAAGCCATATTTACTTTTGGATGGGCCGCTAAGCGTCTGCGTGTTTCAGGCACTCTGCGTGACCAGTTTGTCCAGTACTTCCTTGGCGGTGGACCTCAGCTTAAGAATCCAGATTTAATTTACTCCGGAAATGATCGTTATCGTTTGCAAACTGAAACGATGGGTGTCGTGCACTTGGAGTTAGGAGTCGTACTACGCAATTTTGATAAATACGGAGTAGAATGCTAAATGTCTTCAGTGGAATGACCTGTGAATGAAGAATTTTTATTCTTAATGATGGAAAGTTCTTTTACTGTAGTGTTTGGTTTATTGACAGTTTGTCTGTGCATGTGCGCATATGCGCAGAATGAAACACAGTCTGAGGGTGAAAGTTCAGCAGAAACAAATAGGTCTTGTGCGAACAGCGCGACTAACAAAACAGATTATGTGTGTGAGCTGAATTCAACGGATTTGACGGTATCTACAGAAGTAGTAACAGAAGGTGTCAATGGTACAACTAGTATCGCAGATGTGAATAGCACGCTGTCTAGTGAAGTAGTTCAAATAGGAAATGAAACATATTCTGAATTGCCTGTGAATGCAACCACGGCGAAACCAGAGATTCAGACAACACGGCATCCGGAGACTACCACGGAACCAGTTCCTGCAACGGTTGAGACGGTAGCGGAATTACGACCAGTCTCTAGTGAAATCTGCGTGTGCGATATAAAAGTAAGTACACTAGTACTGGAACATGACAGCGGGCATTTGGATGGGTGGGTGGGGGGCCACGTTTTAGGTTTATTAACAAAAAATTAATCAGTTAATTTAATTTGCATCGAACATACAAGTTTAAAGAACTAAGTGCGTGATGTGATGAATAAGAAATTATTGATAGTAATAATAAGACTGAAGCATGTGATCTCCAATTTATTTATATTTATCGATATTGGTACTGTTCTTGTGCGAGCAGGTGAATTCTTGTGATATCAACTGCTGTTGTGACGTGGACTGTTCAGACAGCGATCGACTTGCATTCTCAGGTTGCCACGGTAGAGCGCCATTTAACTTCGATCCTCGTCATTGCTACCACACGCATTTTATCTATCATAACAACACAGAGTTGAAGCTTGTCCAAGACGAAGGTGGTTTATTTTGCATAGTGAGTGACAACTTACCTGCAAGATTTACGTATCAAAATAGGAGGGTAAGAATTATTTTATGAATAAGAAATTTTTTATACCTGCCTGATTAGTGTAATCTTATTTCAAATAATCTGTTGTACATCCTAATGTTATATAAAACTTGAGATTTTAACGATGCAAACGTTTAACATTTTTTTCTTTATGCTCCATTCTGGAATTGTTTTGCCGTAGTAGTTGTAAGTGTTAAATTATATTTCCTGGGAGAAATTGTATTAATTCTGTAGTAATATACAGATTTTATTTAAATATTGATGTATGTTTATTGCTAACCTGCTGCCTTCCTTATGCTTTATTCTTTAGGTGGTAACAACTTTGCACGAATTTAACAAACTGCACAGATCTCGGAGGACATTTTCTTGGCAAGCTGAGAAATTTGATCCTCCCTCGTTTGATCCATCAGCACCATTCAGGAAGGGAGCAATCATATGGACTGTTGTGAACAGGACTCTCATTCCTTTCAGTACGTACCTCACTGAGATAAGCAGAGCTCATTTATGATTTTTTTTTGAATTTGTTTTTAGTGTGGAAGTCTACCCTGAAGATGGAGGCAATGTCTTAATCCAAAATGTTGATAACCACCTACATGACATCTTAGCTCATAAACGCACAATTCAATTTCATAAAAGAGTAAATTAAAATTGACTCCTAATGATCTGGTAGTTATACAAAGTATGCGAGTTTGTGCTGTCATCTTCTAAATTTGTAGAAAATAAATTTGCATATTGTGAGGGTCCCTGGGGTTCAGAAGGCTGGAGACTTTTTCAAATGCTCATAGTTCTAAAAAAATTCAGTATCTTTTTTTCAGTTATCCGCACCAACTCCATCAGTTACAGCTTCAGTAAATTATTTTTATAACTAACCAGATGGCTTACGGAACCCGAAGGTTCATCACCGAATTAACCAAAGCCCTCCACCGTTCCCTGTCCTGGGCCAACAAAATCCAGTCTCCTTCGACTCCCATCTCCCATAGATCCCGCCTGAGATTATCCTCCCATCTACGTCTAGGTCTACCCAGCGGTCTCTTCCCCTCAGGCTTCCCAACCAATACCTGATGCACACCTCTCGCCCCATCCATGCACGCTACATGCCCCGCCAATCTCATTCTTCTCGACTTGTTCAACCTGACAATATTGGGGGAGGAGTACAAAGTTTTAACCTCTTCGTTAAATTATATTCATACAGTACGTTATTTGTACCAGTTTATTTTCTGTCTGTGCGTCCTCCCTCGTCTTCTTGCGGTTTCTGGAAGTGACGTGCAACCATTACGCTTAACAGTTAGAATAATCTGAACTTTATACATTCCATGGGATTGGATGTTGCGAGTGCACATGATAACTTACTTCATAGTAAAATGAAAATAAAAAGATACTGAATCATACAGTGTTTGTACAATTTTTGAAATTTTCTTTCTCCCCAGGAGGTTATGCGTTTCGTTAATTTATTGTATTATTTCATTAGGTCTTCCAGTGCATGTAACAAGTGCCTTATGTCAAGCTTCGAAAATAATCTACTATTTAAGTGACTGGTCAGGAACATGTCACGTCGTCACAGGCGATGCTGCCGCCTGCGAAAATCGTCCAGAACTCAGTGCCTCTACTTTCTACAAAGGATTCACTGTCTTAGTCGCACCGGAGCTGATGAATGAGACCTACGTCGTTCATCTGAAAGAGGTAGGGTTAAACGCTCGTAAATATTTGCCACGCCGTGAATTACATGAGTGCCATGTTAGATACAACTTTCATTTTGATTTGCAGGATTGCCCTTCTAATGTCTGCATTGCAGTAACTCTGCACTTATGTTCAGAATTAAGCACTGGGGCGTCAGTACTTGATCACTGCGACGAAGTAACAGATTTGCAGCCCTCCTTTTATGACTCTGGTTCTGAAAATTGTCAGAATGTAGTCAGAGAGGTGAGATATATGATATACCATAATGGAACCAAAGGAATTACAAATGTATGTGTGTATGTGTGGCTTACAAATGTAACGCTGTATACGGAATTGTCACAAAAGTTCAGCGTCTCTTTCCGTTGGACTAAAGATGGAAAACCATTCCATCGCAGTGGTAATCCTGGTTATATCGTTGGCAAACCAGTCATGACTGGAAAGAAGGTAACTCGGGTTTCAGGAATCGAAGGAGAAGTTGATAAAGAAGCCATTGAAGTTGATGAGAATCCTGAGGAGTGGCTGTCGATTGCAGTAGCAAAGAAAGATGGCAGATGCGACGTGGAGGGGAAGAACGGTAATTCTTTGAGGCAGACTGTCACATTTGGGGAGAACAGATGGTCATCGTGCATGGTGTTTGTTAGCCCATCAAACTTTACGTCACCGTCAGCCTGTGCGACAATGCACAAAGCAACGATTAATTTGTTAGCTGGTGGTGTGATGGAGAATGTTACGTCAGCTAAGGAGTTCAATTTTTATATTGCAACTTTTGGAGACTCAAAAGTTGAAGAAACAGGTGACTGGGTACAAGTAATGCTGGAAACTGTCCCATCATTTGTAATTTCATCGAGTCAAAGTGATGACTGGGCGCTAGTCTGTAAAGGCATCGTGACGAGTCTTCACATTGACGTGATGTTCGCGAATGTCGGTTCTCTCGCAGTACCTCAGGCAAAAATTTTAGGTGCTGTTTTCAGATTTGGATCGCCGCGTGACATAGTATTTGCGTGTTCTTCTTTTCGCTGCACGCGCGAAACTGAAGAGCAGCACTACGATGCGGTAAGTTCCGTGTCGTTTGTCGACGCTACAAAACCCGCCATTGCCCGGTTCGCAGAGCCACCTGTTTATGAAGTAAAGTTACCCTTTGACTTTTTCTACCCATTTTTCAGTAATTCGGCTCTTTTAAAACCAAGTAATGTACTAGTTTTTGCACTATTTGTCTTCAGTTGTATCAAAATTATAATACACTGATTTCTAAAAGAATAGCAAGATTCATGCTTCCCCCTTAATTCATTGCATCTTCCCAAATGTCAACTTATACAGTATATTCCTGAAGCGACTTAATTACATTCCCATTTATATATTTAAATTGAAGAAGTCTGTCTGCAAAACCCTGAAGAACTTCCCATGGAACCAGTTTGGAAATCGCTGAGGTAGGAATGTTTTCAAAATATTTGCGAACTTTTGTATAAATTTAATTTGAGTTTCGGTTTATAATTAAAATAAACGCGTTCTTTGACAGTGTCATCCTGAAACCCTGGTAAATTTGAATTTTAATATTAGTGACACAAACATTTAATTGGGAACTTAATTTTGAACTCTGAAAAGAAAAATATATGTGTTGACAGTTTTGACGGCAGAATACTGATGTCTGTCACTGATGAATCATATCAAATGAGAGTATGGCTTTGCGAATCCAACACTCTGAGTTTGAAATTTGATAAAATGTTTATAAGATATTTATATCACTAATGTAGACTGACCTCAGTTGTCATTTTACGTTAAGACTGAAATTTATTTTTGACATTTTTGTGTGGTGTTTATACAATTTTTTTGAGAGACATTTGTAGAACTTTGTCTGATAAATGTATTGTAAATTTTCTCAGCGTACCCTGTAAACAGTGTTTTAGGAGTAATCAGAACTTTGGTGACGGTAACGTCTAATAGTGGATGTGAGAGTAATTTTGTTTCTCGTATGGTGATGACAGGGACTTGTATATTTTTCTGTCTCAGTTCATTGCATTCAAATTTGCACACTGCACCACATTTCAGATTATGAAATGCAGATTTTGGTACAAATTATATTTTTATTTCTACGAAATATCATCCCATTATTTGTATGCCTGAATCTTTTAACTGTACTTTCGCTCTGCTTGGAGTAAGTATGCGGAGCAATATTCTGAGTTCTTTGGGGTCAGCTTGATCGTGGTATATCACTGTGGATAAAGGTCAGTTGTCACTTGTTAGTAACAGTGCTGATGGGACACCACCAATGGTACTCAGTATCATCATCTTGTAGCGATCAACGTCAAAACGTCTAACGATCACAATGTTAGGAGACATTTCTTCAATGCCCTTGTAATCCACAAACATGGCCCCTCGGCTGATTCCGCCGTCTTGCGCGACGTATGCATAAAAAGTGGCAGACTGCTGGATGAGGGAAGGGTCCAAGATGGCCGCAGTTGCAAGACAGTCGGCGCACTCCCAGTTTAGAAAATTTTCTTTCAGTTGGTACTGTTCGGCTTTGTTCAGAATTTGCACTTCTGCACTTGGAAGAATTCCAAGGACATTCTTACGCCAGTCCTGTTGGAAAAATAATAATATTTTTTTTTAAACTAGAGACACACAGAATCTTAAAAAAATAAAAAATATATATGTTGTATTTGGTGTGATTAAAATATGTGTATTTATTGAATTGGAACATTTACGAGAGGTATAGAGGGGTCCATTTAAAAGTTATCACCTCCCGAATGGAAGGAGGAATAAATGTTTTGTGGTCAGACATACAAAAACTTGTAAACCGTAGCAGGAAATTGTGGTCACTGCTTGCAGTTATTTAGCTATCTGTGTGGAAATAAGATTTTGGTCGCTGCATTGGAAATGTAAGCAGTGAAGTTTGTGAAAATTTCAGGTTGATAGGCTGCATAATTATGTTAACACTGCGGCTCCTGCTACCACAAACCATTAGATAAGTCTTCGAACGTCTCACCATGGTTACGATGTTTCTCTCGGACACTGAATCATATGGCACTAATGTAATGGGTCGTATGTGCCCGGTGCTCGTGTCACTAGAGTTGAATACGATGAACGCCGCTTCTGGGTCCACGTAAAAGTTGAATTCTATTCCTGGCTTAATATTACCTACACCTGAAAATAGCCAATATTAAAATTTTAACAAATGTAACTCTCGAAGAATCTAAATAATATGGAAACGTGTCTTAACATTTACTTTCTGATGTCTCAGAACTCTGATTCGGGTCAGGTGAACTGGTCAAAGACCCTTTTCTGCAGAGGAAGGAAGAAGTAATCCTCAGCCTGAAGATTCTCAGGTTGATACCCTCAACCCGAGATCATTGACAACTTTATTTTACGTTTAAAAGCTGAATTGAGGAAAGTGCTTCATCTCCTGGACCCAATCTTCATTCTTCAAATTCAGATTCATCTCAGGTAAATCTGTGAGTATTTTTATGTTAGAGAACAATGGAAGGCACACAACGTAAGCAGAGTCCTTCAGAAGCGAGAGGTCGCTCGGCTGGCCAAGAAATTTTCCTGCCTCTTGTGGAATCCGAAGCACAAGAGCCCACCATTTGATCCTATCTCGAGCCAGTTAAATCCAATCCACACACTCAATTTTATTTTTTTATGATACAGATGAGCGTGGCTAGCAGCCCACTCTTGTTTCACTCCACCATCATCACCCTGATGATGGAGGCAACAAGGACCTCTGAAACATTGGGAAACTTCTACCAGACTACATGGCACGTCGTACCAGAAGACACGCCGCGTGAGATCCTGAAATCTCACCAGGAAACTTAATTCATTTGGACGTACCTTCAGTGCTGCCGCCCAAAACCACCAAGTGTTTTAGTTTCGTTAGAAACGTCGGATCCATTCTCACTGCTAGAGCGACGTTAGTCAGAGGACCTAAACACAGAAGGGTCACTTCTCCTGGAATAAGGATAAAGAGTTTTAAGAACAAACTTGGAATAGTTTAGTCGTTTTTTAATGTCATCATTATTTACCACGTCTTCATTCTGTCTTTCTGGTTCGTTGGTTTGCTTGCGTCTGGTTGATGGGGCGAGTGTTTTGTGGTCTCTGGATGAAATGTGTGTTGGGCTCTAAACAAACTCCACATGACTTATCTTAACTCAGTTTTATTAAATTAAAGCTTTGATTGAAAGAAAGTCTTTGACCTTCTACAGGGTGATGCATTAAAAGCATAACCCTGCCTACTTTCATATACATTAATAATTGATTTAGGGATATGATAACTGTAGACTACAAGTCATAGTTCTCATCTGCTTCTCCTTACCTGGATTCTGAGTTACAATTTGTATTAGAGAGTTAACGGCGTGCTCATTTTGTAGAAGATCGCTAGAATTTGGTGGATTTGGGAATTCGAAATCTCCAAAACCATCTTCGCCGAAGTAATTATCTGATGGGGGTGTCCAGATGAACGATTTTGAGGCTCCGCGGTACACCGGAATCTGGTAATGAAATTACTTTAAATTGTTTCGTATTCGTGTCATGTGCCACGAATTTGTTAATATTTTAACAATTTTTTTTAAAAAAAACTTTGATAGTTGAATACATAGTTAATATTTATTATAAAATTTTCGTCGACATTCATGAACGCCGCCATCTTGAGAACCTTACTGCCGCTGAGCTAATCAAAATATTTCTGCTTTTTGAGGAAATTATTTTCAGTGGAGCTCGCTTGTTTTTCCCGTAAAATCTGGATGTGTTTTTCCTCCCTATGCGTGTTATGTACCCCGGAAATAAAATAATATTAAAATTCAGTTCTATCCGCACAGAAACACCACGTGTTACCATTAAAAATCTCAGTCGGTTTATGATAGTTACGTAAAATACGTGAGAACATGAGAAGCATAATTTAAATTGCCCTACGATTTTTTCGTGAAACTCCACTGTCAAATTTAGTGAAAAACCATGCTCGAATTGTTGGATGCATACAACGAACGAACGGAGAGATTTTAATGGGAATAAATAAATCGGTGTCAGATTACATCGAATTCGGCATTGCAGTCCACAGCCTAAAAAATTAATAATATTGTTGAACTGCTGCAAAGTTTGTTCTTAGGACTTTGAATCACTCTGTATATATGCATTGAATTCACGCGTGTAAAATAGTGATACCTGCGTTTACTTGCTTGTTTATTCGACTTGTCGATGACCTTGAAGATAAGGTATCGAATGCGTGGACGATACTGAATTGTGTAAAGATAGTGTTATCGGGCTTACGTCAAGACGGCCGACGGTTTGGAGTATCTTAAAGACATTGACGACAACATTGTCGACGGCTGTGTTGCCGTGGACACAGGTGATCGCTATGACCTTGAAACTCGAATTGTCCTTTTCCTTATTTATCGCCATGAAGATGGCAGCAGCGTCGTCAGCACCGGCATCTGTATCGATAATTACCTTCCCTGCGTCAAGCTGAGGAAATTTCCTGCGGGACACGTTGGTAACTAATTATTTATCCTTTGGAATATAACAATGACAGTAATCTGTAATAAGTGACGCAGTTTTTCAATTCAATTGTTTGTTTTTTTGTTGGTGGGTGGAGGGGGTTATCACGTGACAGACTGCCGGTTCATTGCAACATGAACTTTGGGCCGGTTATTACAGGGTTTATTCTAGAAAGATAAGATTTACTTTATATTAATAAGGAGTTCACTCACTAAATGGAAGTTAATGCTCTTTTGAGGTTATAAACTCTGATTTTGTATAATATTTTAATGTGGAGAATTTTGCAAAGCACTGACCTCATTTTTATGTAATTGTTGCAGTAACGCCACGTGTATTAGGTTATTTTTCTCTCACGTACGGTGGGTTTTGACGGTTGTAACATTCATTGTTGTGTTTTTGTCTTCTAAGGATCGAAATTTCGCGATGCTGTGTTGGAAAATGTGCAGATGTGACATCTACGTAATTTAGATTTACGCGATGGGAACTGCTCTCTAACCCCATCTGATGACAGGAGTACCAATTACATTACAGACTTTCTTGAACATTTTTCGAAGCTGAAAGTTTTGTAACTGTCTCCCACCGAAATCAAGTAAAATGAAATTATTCTTACGTGTGGTAACACTGTTCTGTTTTCAGGCGCCTTCCGCGTGAAGTGTCGTAGTATCTTCTATAAAAGTGATAGGCTACTATCATCGGGTGGGCTAGAAGGACGAGGCGAAATGTATACTACCATTTTAGGATTACAATACCCCTTTCCAGGTTTCTATAAAATAAGGATAACTGCAGAAGCCCGTAACTTCACCATTATTTTATATGGGAGTGAAACTTTGTCTCTCTCATTATTATTGAAGATTTTGATGACGTTGTTAATCTCTCTCATTATTATTGAAGATTTTGATAACGTTAACCTATTATTTAAACAGAATAAATTTTCGATAAATTTAACCTATTTTTACGTGTGTGAAAATGACACTTGCATTGATAATCTAAGTAGATAAAATCAGTTTACAATAAGCAGGGCTTCAACATTCCGTTTTATTTTCTTTGCTAATTATCCTGACGTCACAGAATACTTTAGAAAGATTACAATCACAAGTCCGTTGATTAAAGCTGTATCATGTCGGATCAGGCTGAATACCGATGCGAACTGACCTGATGAAATAGCCCCACGTTCATTCCTAGACGGACGATTCAAATTTCGCGCTGTTACCATTCACAGTTGGTACACCTGTCGCTCCTCAGGATTTCGCGCTGACGCCATGTTGAAAGTACTTCCGGTACGCCAGTATTATGGTGTCTTGTGGTGGGCTGTTCAGACTAGGTTTTATGAATATACGTCTGTTGTTTTCGAGATTTTAAATAGGGACGAATACACCGTACCCTTTGTAAAGTTCAGAAACATGTCGATATCATTGAGTTTTCCATTTGTATTCCACGTAGCGCGGTGAATGGTATTATATTATTGACTTTTCGGAATTTTGTGTTGAAAGTCACGGCTTCTGTGACTTTGACGATGGTAGTAACGAGAAACAATTAAAAAGAATTCGGGATGTCGCGCCGACGTTTCGGAGGTACTAACTGCCTTCATCATCAAAGCGATGACAACACAATTGAGTATAAAGGCTTTGTTTATAAAGTTCAAAGTAATCTTTTTCCGATTAACTTACCCTGTTACTACGTGCATGAAGATGGCAAGTGCGCTGTTGATCACAAGTAAATTAAATCTGTTCATGGCTTACAAGAGCGCGTTCACCTGTTCAGTGCCTGAATTATTCTGGCCGGTGGAATAATCAAGGGGAATTCTAGGAGCTAGTCGCTTGTAAGATAGCATAATCTTTGGTCTGCCTCCATTAAGGACGAGGAGCTTATCGGACTCAAAGTCCAAACAAAACAAATACAGGTTGCCCTCGATTTGCGCCGATTCAGAATAACGCCGATTTTGAAACCAGAAAGTCAAAAAGTGAGAAAAAAAATATTTTACTATTATTTATAGCGTTTTACAATGTTTCTCGTACTGATTCTTATACTAAATCGTAATTTTTACATCGCTGATTTTGAATAAAAATTATAAATGCAGTCATCTCTGCAATTACGTTGTGTTTCGTTAACGCGAATTTGATCGAATGAGATCGATTAATCGATAAAAGCTGTTTGTGAATATGCTACTGAACCACATTACACTGTGGAGTGTTTCGTGATAATCTGGTTTACACGACGGCTTGTATAACTCCAGATGAACTATTTTATGGGCAATCGATAAATATATATAGGCATACCTCGGAGATATTGCGGGTTCGGTTCCAGACCACCGCAATAAAGCGAGTCTCACGAATTTTTTTGGTTTCCCAGTGCATATAAAAGTTATGTTTACACTATACTGTAGTCTATTAGTGTGCAATAGCATTATGTCTAAAAAAAACATTGCGAGAATTACCAAAATGTGACACAGAGACACGAAGTGAGCACGTGCTGTTGGGAAAATGGCGCCGATAGAATTGCTCGACGCAGGGTTGCCACACACCTTCAATTTGTAAAAAAAAAAAAAACTGCGAAGTACAATAAAACGAGGTATATTTTTTTCCCCGAATTGTGACGATGTGTTCCTGCAATGTGGAAGCATTTTCTCTTCTGCATTCCACCACGTGGTTTCTAACATCGCATCTGTTAACGTCGAAGAGACAGCCTTCAGAGCGTTCAACTCGTCGTTACGGTAACTTCGTGCCTCCACACTGGACGTCCGATGAGTGGGATATCCCGAAGATTATGACGCACCACCGCACTGTCGTCATTGTCTGGTTGGTGCCATTAAAACGTCTGATTCGCGCTCTTCGGGATTCATACGTCGATATGAAACACCTGTCGCTGTTTCTTACCGCGGGCCTCCTCGTCGTGGCGTGGGTACCATTCGGACATTTGGCGAGAGCTCCTGGCGAAGAATTCTGTTCATCCTGTATCGATACCAACAGTGACTTTTGCTGTAGATTCTTCCAGTTGTGTTGCTTAGGTGAGTTTCCTCAAGAACGGATCTGAAACTTAGACGTTTATGGCGAACTAATCTTACAGACAGATCAAAGGATCTGGTGATGTTGGTTCTGGTTTTACGGGGGCGTAATAGAGCCTGTGACCGCCACGGTGGTCTAGCGGTTAGAACGCTGGCCTTGTAATCCTGGGGTCTCGGGTTCGATTCCCGGCGGTGCCCGAATTTTGATAATTTGTGTTGGGCAAGGCCGTGGTCCAGGCAAGACGGAGTTTTCCTCCGTGGCATCCCAACAATTACTCCATTCACACACGCAATGTCAAACCACTTCTGGATCATCTGCCAAGAACGTATATGAACAGGTCCCAGTCCGAGAAAAGGATGGAAGGATCCTGTTCATATGGACCTGTCGTCAGACAGAACACTAAATAATAAAAATAAAATAGAGCCTGTGACCCCCGAGCTGCAGTAGGCCCTAATTTTTTTTGTTCATACAGGACGAATTTTATCGTAAATATAATTAATTATATCAACAATTTAAATTACTGAGAAGTCTTACCGCTAGCTTTGTGTGAGATTTTGCTACGTATTGGATGGATGCCTCTGAGTGTTGACTGTGCGCGGACGATGTTTCTGTTAATATCTCAGTCATTTCAGACTGATGGGATAATATCTCAAAACAATCCACTGTCGCTTTGTATCACATATTTTCGATTTAACATCGGTGGTAAATGAACGGAGAATCACATTGAACGAAAATGTTTAAAAAAAAAATTTCGATTTAACATCGGTGGTAAATGAATGGAAAATCACATTGAACTAAAATGTTTAAAAAACGTTTCTTCCGAGTGAAAATTATCTAAATATTTAAAGTCTCTGAGATTCCTTTCGTGTTTGCTTCTGTGGTCACAGCGCGAACAATAATTTGGATTTTTATTCCGTGTTTTTTGTAATGGACCTAGGCGTTCTTTCTTGTAATTTGTATTGATTACAAGAATTAAACTTCAGACGACTGGTAAACGTAATGGTAATAAGTAGAAAGAGTCTTGTACTAATCTGCATATTATAGATGGTTATATTAGATCTGAACATTAATCATTTCACTTCTCTGTTAAATTTAATGTTGATTTTTTCTATTATAGGTCATCGGTACGACTAACTTTTTAAAACGCTGAGGGTTTGTTTAAGTTAAATATCTTCAAGGGGAAGAGATAGCAGTTTTCAGTCTAAAAAGATTTATTATCGTGCGTGTACTTCGCTGTCAGTGTTTGACTTAAAATAAAATGATTTTATTGATACATTTGGGAGATACTCGGATAATTACTGTATAATCCTCGACTTTTAAAGTGCCTTAGTTGCAACACACTTACTTAAATTTCAGTAAGATTCTAAGTACACGTTGATATCTTTAATCTCACGTATTTTGGGCTCAAAATTAAGCGAGGAACTTGATTTACAACGCGATTATTCATTAGTAGATTTGCAAGATAGTACTTCTGAAAAACTACACTGAACGCAAGTGTGTGTCTCATCATATGTAAATGAGTTTATAATTCGTTCATCATAAGACATCGAAGCCTGAATTTGACATGTCTGCATGATATTTGAGTCCTTTACTATAATTATTTTTCATGTTGCGGAGGGCGAGTTCATTTACAACCTCAGACATCCGTTCTGTTACTCACGAAAAAAAAATGGATGCTTCGGTCTCGGAGAGTTCTGTGAGTTACTGCCCAACGTAACCTTAAAGATCACGGCTCAAGACTCTGTCTCTCTCCTGATTGGTCAGTAACAACGCTGGGAATACCATTACACATCTCATATTCTATACTAGAGATCAAAATGTCAGGTCTTTGGGTTGCTTTACCCTGTCACAATCGCCTTATTGACAAGTTCCGGCACGGTGCACTATCACAGTACGCCATCTCTTGAGACAGTCACGAACACCTCGTCGCGTTAGCTCAGTCAGTATAGTGACTCTGGACTCGACGACCCGGGTTCTATCCACGACAGGGACGGAGGATATTTCCTCTAGCCTCTGCGTTGAAGTCGGGCAAACCCAGCCTCCTAACGCTAACCACTCACCACCATCTAATGTAGAGGTTAAGATATATCAGCTCTTCCCCCCCCCCCAAGCGCTTATATGGCGTATAGCGGGATAGCTTTATTTTTATATTTTTTTGTTGCTGAATATTTCATGTGGGATCGGCATTGTCACGTTTTTCTTGTCATATACGTGTTTAACATTCAGTACCTTAAACACATTGTCATTTGTCTTCTGCGTCACGACGCACATGCGCAGAAGACTATGTCGCTGTTAAACGCCGATGAATCTCCTTGACTTCCTTCCTTAAAGAGAGAAAGAGAGAGAGTCCTTCTTGACACAGATTGCGACATATCGCTATATTGAGATAGTAAACTTAAATCTCGCATAAATTCTGCTTCTGAATTGTATGAACCATTCTTTGTGTTTGAGAAAAGTTAGGTATTGCGACACCGGGAGGCGGGGGGGGGAAAAATTGTGTGAGTTGAATAACAGCTAACCACTTTACCGACTGAAATGTGTACCCTTCACCTCGTTTTATGTGGGGGTAAGATAGATGGCAGAACAAGCACGTAGCCAACATAAGCAGTCAGTTGCAGCTCTGTATGTTAGCAAAGACATTTTTCTTTTTTCCAGACGTTTCGCCGTGTCCCACCCCAGCCAGACCGCAGTCTGCGACTTGCCACAAGAAAAAGTGCACAAGGTCTTCGGATTGTCGGAAAGGACAATTATGCTGTCGGAGGGGAGACTGCGGACATTCCTGCGTCACGCGTCCGAGGCGCAAGAATCCAGCCTTGTCTTTCGTAATTTTATAATGTTGATATTTTTTTTTTACATTCTGTTCCTTTTAAGTTTTCTGGCAGCTCTAGCAATCTCCCAGCTCTGCTGTAAGAAGTAATTAACAGGGTTTACGAGCTTTAAGATTTATTTTAAAATAGCACGTAATAAAACCGACAGTTCACAAAAGGACCTGTATTTTGCACAGTCTTGTAAGAGCTGTGTTTTAACTTCCCTCATCGTTGTTATATTTCCAAGAAAGGGAGAAACGTTTCGTAATGTTTATATTTCTTGTTCATTCCTCCTCACATTCATATTCCTTTTTGAAAGGTTTGATTTATCACGAAAAGACCGCTGACAACGATGTTCTCTTCTACTGTTTTGCACTGTAGCAGCTACGAGCACACGTTACCACGCGTAACCAAGAAACCCACGGTCACAGACACGCTCCACTGCAATCTGAATGTGGGCACAAGATGGTACTTCACATCCAGTCTGTTTCATCACTGGCGGAAAAGCCCCCGGTACCCTCTGGCTCGAGAACTGAGTAGGCCCCAGGACACGTTTCTGGTGTGGATACAGGTGTTGAACTCAGCCTGGGTATGAGCCGCTACGTGTCTGTGTCTACCGGAAACGACACTGAGTAGGCCCCAGGACACGTTTCTGATGTGGATACAGGTGTTGAACACAGCCTGGGTATGAGCATCTACGTGTCTGTGTCTACCGGAAACGATCTGCTGTCTTCCTGACAGTTTTGTGTCACTGACGCATGCGCAGTTGATGGTTAGGACGTGCAGGTGTCTGCTCCTACGTCATAAGACAGTAAACGGAACATGTTTTGCTACGTCACTCGGTCGCGTGACATCGTATCGCTTATCGGTTTAGGCTTGTGTACGCAACACATTCTTGACACAAGTTCTATTTGTCAAAAAAAATAAATTACAGTGGAATCAGAAAAAAAACAGAACAATATTGTGTCAAATTTCTTCTTCATGTTTAATGCAACCTGGTGAAGAATTTCTGCCTTA